GAAGCAGGCAAACAAAATGAATACCTTAAAACACCTTTAAAGCAAACTAAACCCCAAAAAGGTATTTAACAAATAGGATTGTGCATAACCAGCTTAGATGCTGTTTTTATAAGTAATTAGCATTTGAAAGTTTTTTGAAGGGCCGGGCGTTGTGGTGCATGCCTTTAATCCCAGCACTCGGGAGGCAGAAGCAGGCGGATCTCTGTGAGTTCAAGGCCAGCCTGGTCTCCATGGTGAATCCAGGCCAGCTGGGGCTACAGGGAGACCCTGTCTCAAAAAGACCAAAAAAAGGAGAAAGTTTTGTGAAACACTTAATAGACCTGGAGACACTGTTTCATAGATTTAAAATATTAGGGTGCCTGTTTATAAGGTCTTTGAATGCATCATCAAAATATTTATAAATTTGTACATATATATTTTGATTAGTCATGTCAAAAATAAAACCTATAATTCTTGTGCGCAATAAAAAAATGAGAAAGGAGAAAAAAACTAAAGTGGCCACAGATCAAAAATTGTCAACATGAAAGCAATTATCACGGACACATATAACACAATTACATGAAACCTAGGTGCACCAAAGAGTAGGAGAAGGCAGAAAGCTTTTAGCTCTAGTTCTCTAATACGTAAAAAGACTTAGTGGTCTAAAAGAAAGGGTTAAGTTTGCCATGTAGATTTAAGGTAGTATCTTTCTTCCTTTTTAAGAACTAAATAACTGAAGGGTATTATAAATAAAACCCTATCAATATAAGAACTCTAGCATATGTCACAAAGAACATGTGGACAAAGCATAAGTAACTTGGCAAGGCAGGTTTTACTTTTGCGTAAGGGTGTTTATGATGGACCCAAGTCCCCCCAAATGATGGACCCAAGTCCGTCCAAAATGATGGATTTAAACTAAAATCCCCCAGGCCTGAGAAAAACTGTACAAGGAAGTAAAAATGAAAAATAATTCTAACTGCTAAGAACAAGCTGAGCTGACCTTTTTCATGCTCCCTGCCCAAGCTGGAAATCATCCCAGAAATCCCCCCCACCTCTGCTTGGCACATAGCCTCCGCTTTTTTGCTTGGCATATAGCCGCCGCTTGTGACGTTACTGCCGCTTTCTCTCTAGTTTGTGGTCTTTGTCTTTAAAAGAAGCCTGTGAACTGGGCTCTGGGCTTCTGCCCTCCGAGTGAGGCAGGGGTCCGTTTTGCGCAAAACGCCAAATAAATCCTCTTGTTTGTTGCATCTCCTGGTCTGAGGACTGAGTTATTGGGGAGCGGCCTCCTGTGGACATTGGGTACCCGAAACGGGGGTTCCAACATTTGGAGGCCCCGGTGAGATCCAGGCCATCCCCAGACCCATTTCCTCTGATCAGCAGGAGGTAAGAATAGACGTCTTGTGATTTGTCTTGGTCTTAATGTCTGTCAGTTATTTTCTGTTCTGGGAATGTTCTGTCTGAACATTTGTGCCTGTGCAGGACCTGTAAGTCTGTATTTTGGAAACCAGTGGGAGTGGCAGACGTGCCCAGAGGCCCCTGGTTCTGACGCTCTGGCCTTAGGGACCGGAGTGGTCTGGAGTGGGGAGGACGGTGTAGCTTTCCTTCCCCCGGGAGAAGAAGGGAGCTTAGCTTGGCTACTCCTCTCCCATTCTGTACTTTCAGTTCTTGAGTTAAGGAGTGTGCACCAAAGAATTCTCTGTTCTGTGTATTGTCTGTGTCTGTGTTCAGGGATCCCAAAAGTAAGAATGGTGGGTGCAGCGTGTGTCTGAATGAAAGAAGGACCGGTCCACATGAATGTGATTCAGTGTGATGTGTGTGTGCTTAAAGGTTGTATTAATATCTTAAAAAGGGAAAGATCTGGTTTTTCTACGCTCTCTATTCTAAGCCTTCCCTTACTCCTTTTATCTTTCCTTTTATTCTTGGTCTGAGTCTTCGCATGGGACCGTTAATGGCAAAAGAGTAATTGAGGCTTTCTGGCCAGGGCTACTCCCTGGCGTAAGCTGAAGGCTCTTAGCCCTCTTAGCGGACCCTGACTGCCCGCACAGGTGGAGATGAGACAGCCTCCCTGTACTTCCTTCCTCTCTTCAGCCACTATAAAAGCCCCGCGGGCACGGGTCGAGCAAATAAGAGCCACAGGGTGCTCGCCACTAAAAGACTCCTGTGGAAGGATAAGGGGGTCCCAGGCATGAATCCCAGATAAATTCACGTCCCCCGCAGAAGAAAAACTGGGCAACAATAGGTACTCTTCTACAAGCACACTCACTGGTCACTATTGTTTGGAGTGGTCTCTCTCTCTCTCTCTCTGTCTCTCTCTCTCTCTCTCTTTCTCTTGTGACCTCTACCATGGGTCAATCACTGACTACCCCTTCAAGTTTAACTCTGGAACACTGGAAAGAGGTCGTGGAACGGGCCCGCAACTTATCACTGGAGGTTCAGAAGAAGAAGTGGCAGAATTTCTGTTCCTCGATGTGGCTCTCTTTTGAAAAAGGATGGCCAAGGGATGGACTTTTGACTTTGCTACCATCTTACAGGTCAAGGAATACATTTTCCACCCAGGACCACATGTACATCTGGACCAGGTGGCTTATATAGTCACCTGGGAAGACTTGGCCCAGAACCTCACACCTTGGGCACAGCCATTCTTGCCTCCCCGGGGAACTAGAGAGACTGATCAAGGGCTCCTCACCCCTTTAGCTCCCATTAATTTCACTTCTTCCCTCCTGCCCCTCCAGTCTTCCCCTGAGAAGAAACAGAAGCCAGTCCTCCCTGAGGACCAAGCCTCCCTAAACCTCCTTGATCCTCCACCTCCCTATCCACCTGCGACCAGGCACCTCCACCCCAAGAACTACCTCATCCCTCTCCTGACTCTACAGAACCCAACCAAATCCCCCCTCCATCTAGCAGACTTCGCCTGAGAAGGGACAGAGGGGGCCCCTCTGATGGAACCGGAACTACCCAGGTTCTTCCTCTCCGAACTGTAGGGGATTAGATCCAGTATTGGCCTTTTTCAGCCTCTGACTTGTATAATTGAAAAACTCATAACCTCTCTTTCTCTCAGGACCCTCAGGCTTTAACTGCTTTAACTGAGTCTATTCTTCTTACCCTCCAACCCACTTGGGAAGATTGCCAACAACTCC